GATTAAAACATATCTATTGCTGGGGGGGTTGTGAAATGATACAGGAACACAGTACGGTGCTTCCTCAAAAACCTGAAAATAGAAATGCCTCATGATCTCGCAACACGACTCCTAAGTCTATATCCTAGAGATGCAAGAGCAGTGACATGTTCTTCGGTATATTGATGCAGAGGTGTGTGGGAAGACATAGGAGAGTAAATTCAGGTGCAGGTGTAGATGTATTTCTGTTGTTCGGTACCACAGAGTTGGAAATCCTACGGACAGCAGAACAGAGACCTGCACGGTCTTGTGCCACGCTCACAGTTGACATATGTGACCCTTTGTTGCAGTCCCTGGATTAAAGTGTATCTGTAGGCATATGTATATATTACATGTTTGAGTATGCTGCACATATACCCACATATATGGCAATCCATATAGGAGACATACTGACGGCTTCCTAGACATAACCCAAACAGCTAATGGGATTGGTTTACTGGATTAAACGTTTGGGAACCATAGCCTTGGGGGTAAACTTAATTAATTGGCATAACATAGTCCACAATGATAATGATGTTCTACATTCTAGTTCAATGAGTAACATTTTAAAAGTTTTTGAGAAGTCATCAACAATTAGTGGTCTCTGCCCATAAGGAGCAAAAAGGCTCAAAGAGGAAACTAGTGCAAGGGATTAAGAACCCACACAAACAAGAGCAGCTTCTAACCTGAGAGCAGAAGAATTGATGGTGCCTGGTTATATCCCTACTGAGTGTTCAGATGAGAGACACAGCAGAAGGTCCAGAGAGAGCGGCAGAAAAGTGTAGAACAAAGTGAAACTCATAAAGAAGCTCGAACCTGAGGGACCAATAGAGACTGGAGGAATCCCTGACTATCACCCCAGGCAAATGTTGGCCAAGGCTTTTATATCCTGCCAAACTGACCCTCAGACTCCAAGACCATAGGCCAATTGTTACGGAAATGTAGACCCCGGGGTGTGTTATTCCCCTGAGCTCTTCCTATGGAATCTACCAATTTCCTATGGAAGAACTCAGGAAAAGCTTTGCCTTAAAGTTTGCTGCCTGTGAATTAAAATTAAGGACACAATTGAGTTTCCTTTTATGGTGATAGAAAACTTGACAATGGACATTGGTGGTGACTGTACAACATGATTAGTACAATTAGTGGGAAACAATGTAATTTTCAACATGAAGAATGTTTAATTAGGAAATATCATATGTATTTTTACAACAATAAAAATTTCCCACTGCCACGGAGTTGATTCTGATTCGTAGCAGCCCTATAAGACAGGAATTAAGTGCCTCTTTGGGATTCTGAGGCTGTAAATCTCTACAGGAGCAGAAAGCCTCCTCTTTCTCTAGGGGAGCAGCTGGTGGGTTTGAACTTGAGATTTATAGCCCAATGCATAACCCCAAATATAAAAAAAATAGTAACTTACAAAAAGAAAAAAATTAACAGCACTGATTTTATTGTCTCTTCCTTTATTTTTGAATACAACAAGCACATTGTTACACTAGGCCTTAAGCTATGAAAGAGGCTCACAAATGCTCCCATTCATAACGGAGAGAAGCATTTATCAAGAGAAAAGACTTATGAGTGGTAATTGGCACTCAGCTACTTAATCCCTGTATTATAGGAATAAAGGTGTCTCATAATAGTATATTAATAAAAAGTAAACATTTATCATCATTACATAGAAACCTTAGATGATGATTTGCCTGTTTAAAAACAAATGAAAAAAAGCTAAGTTAATAAATGGCAATTTAAAATAACTGTTTAAAAAGCCTACGTAGGGGGAAAACTCAACCCTTCTTCTCTTACTGTAAAATAACTCTAATAATTAGGGCTTTCTGTTTAATGTGACAATAAAGTAATTTTAAAAAAATTCCATTCCCCTCTTTGAAATTCAAGAAAAATCGACACCATAAAGCAAGGGAACACTCTGTCTTCCTGAACAATGAAATGGCCACAATCCCAAACTATAAATTATGGAACACATCTGCCAAAAATTGTAAAGGTTGGCCCGAAAAGAAAGAGAAGGCTGGGAGCTGACAAATATTTCCCCAGGAGCCTAGTGGGCTGCAGATTTCCCTGGGAGAAAGTGTGACAGTCCTGAAAGGCCCATTCAACAGTTCTTTGATTACGGGCACTAGACCAAGCTCAAAGCTCCTGTCAGAAGTGACAATGTCCCTGTAGAATCAGGGGAAGGAGAACTGCCTTTGATGCGTCCGAGCCAATGAACTCTGCCAGAGCTGAAGTGGTTTACAGGAAGGGGAGGCAGCAATTGCTGGGTTACTACACAGCAGGGCAGTTATGTCAGAGATTCTCCTCCGAGTCACACCAGCCACGCAAATGCCCCAAATTGAAGAGCAATATGGGCAGAAGAAATGAGAGTAGATGACAGCGTATTGAAGACAACAAACCCAAATGATGTACACTGCTCTAGCTCACCACCTCCTACCCACCCCACTGCCCATTGCTCACCCCAAACAGCCAACAGCATTCACAGCACCAGCCTAAAAGCTGTGCAGCAAAATTGGGAGGCACAGAGGAGTGGAAGGTGAGGAGAGAAGGTTGGGATATGAGGAGAGGAACATCAAGCAAGAGTCGTGTCAACAACATAGCAAAACACAAGGAATTATCCCAAGAAAAGTTCCCCTTAAAGTATGCTCCATGTCTCAAGGAAATTATAGTCATGGCCTTTAGGGGAAAGAAAACAAAATGAAAATACTACAATCCAATCAATTCCAACACACGGCAACCTTATAGGATAGAATAGAACCCACCCTTTGGATTTCTTAGCCTTTATATCTTTGCGAGAGCAGGTAGGGTCATTGTTCTCCCTTTTTGTAGAGCCACCCATGGGTTCAAACCGTTGACCTTGCACTTAGCTCAATATGTAATCTCCTATACTTCCTATATCTCCTTCTAGGGGAAAACGTGGCTCGGTTTGAGTTCAAAGGATAGACTATAAGGCAGCAGGAAGAGATGGAAAGGCAGTTGGAAAATAAGGAAAATAAGAGAAACTTTTAAGGCAGCAGACATAAAGGTTAGATAACAACAAAAATAATTAAACATGGTTGCTGAGAACACATACATGGTAGACAGGCTGTAATATGGCAGAAGAGTGATATATAAAAGAGCAAAGATGTGAAATTGCTTTTTAGTGGCCACGGTGGATATGAAAGGCAGATAAAGGAGATTAAACAGAAACATAATTTGTATTTATAAGAACTAGACAGAAATGGAATGGGACCCTGGGAGTTGGGGGCAGAGATCATAATGGAGTTAAAATAATGGAACAAACTTCCTTGAATAAAATCTTAATTAACAAGGTTTTTTGTATGTATTATGTGCCAAACAAATTTCCTGGTGTTTTCCATGTACCACCTGCCAAGAAAATACAACCCGCTAAGACATGCGATGGTTAAAGTGCTGAACTTCATGGATAAAGGAAGACCCCAGGGGCTTCTGTGCAGAAAAGGCAAACAAGTAAAAGGAGACCAGTCCCTGTTGGCCTCCTACATCTCCACGCTAGTGCAAGAAGCCGGTGGAGCAGGCTCATACACATCTAAGGAGCAGAAACCATGACCCAGAGTGTTCTTTACTGGGAAGGGCAACAGAGAAGCATTCAGATGACAAACTAAAATCCCAACCAGTTGCCATCGAGTCAATTCCAACTTTTGGCGACCCTGTGTGTTATGGAATAGAATTATTCCATAAGGTTTTCCTATTGTATGGACCCATTGGATCGCTATGAGTCTGTGTGAGTGAGTGAGTGAGTGAGTGAGTGAGTGAGTGAGTGAGTGAGTGAGTGAGTGAGTGAGTGAGTGTCTTTCTGAAAGCCAACAGGGAAGCCTTCCACGAAGCCACTGGGTAAATTCCAAACACCTGACTTACTTGAAAATTCAGTAGGAGAACCAAGTTCAAACAACCAAGATGAGCCCAAATTAAACATCCAAGAATAGGTAGACCCTGGTAAGGAGAGAGAGGGGGGAAAAAAGGTGATTGATGAGTAATGGATTCATTTTAATTATAGAATTGAGACTTAAAAAAAAAAAGAATTAAGACTACTGTAGCAATTGCATTTCAGAATAGAATGTAAATACCAGGGATCTCGACATTCTCTAATTAATATAGCAAAAACGAATTAAAAGACTGAAGAAGAGAAGTGGGAGGGTGTGAAGGTGCTATGTGCTCATCCTTCGGAGGCGTAAGTCAATAGATAGGCTCTTACGTCCAAATACGTAATCAAAGCAACAATCTGAATGTCCTAGCGGGTTCTTTAATCTACTTTCTTACCTCTCTAGATGGCTCTTTTGGGAATTAATCACTTTAGCTAGAGAAAAAAAAATCAGAAGTTCAGCAGTTCCTTTCATTTTACTTTAGTTTCTATTTTTAAAATTTTACTTTGTAAACTTACATTACAGTTTTAAGTTGAAATTTCATAGTCCACCCGCCCACTGCCACCAAGTTGGTTGCAAGTCATAGCAACCTTCCATAGGGTTTCAGGGACTCTCATCTTTATGGGAACAGACAGCCCCGTCTTTCTCCTCTGAGTGGCTGGTGGGTGTGAAGCTCCATCCTCCCTGCAGGGGTTATCAACTCCTGTGCTCAACATGTCACCGTCCGGATGGTTTTCTCTTAAACTTCCCTGTTTATCCTTTTCTATTTCCTTAAATTCTTGATAATGGGTACATTTCATTTTTCTTAAGCAAAATTATTTTGCTATCTAAATAAATAGCTGGGAAATTAATGAGCCTTCAGTTACAGTACCAAAAATAAAATTCTTTGACACTAAATAACCAAGAGAGAGAGGAAGAAAGAGAGCCAATGAAACGCTCTACATCATCCAAGAAGTTCGAGTGCAGGAAATGGTCTACGTATTGTCGCGGTCCTATGTAAAATTCCTTCCTGTTCCTCCATCTGAGATGCTGCTGTTGTTGGCTGGGATTTACTATGCTCACGCTCCATTTGACTCTGTTGCACAATTCTCATCACAGTGCTCTGTCAGCTGTGGGGTTGGCATCCAGCGAAGAAAGCAAGTGTGTCAAAGACTGACGGCCAAGGGTCGGCGCGTTCCTCTCAGCGAGGTGATGTGCAGGCACCTCCCGGGGCCACCTCTGGTGAGAGCTTGCCAGATGCCTGCGTGCAACAGTAAGTGTGTGCTGCCCATGTGTCACCAAGATCCGCTCCCTTTGTCCCCGTATCTTCCTTTTCGTTTCCATACATAAGCATAGGCAGTAAGCACCTGTGAAAGCCAGCACCTGTATAAGGAGGAAACCTGTCAGAGAAGGAAAATGCAAATATTTTCCACTGAAGCAAGTGATAGAAAAATGGTCAGACTGCACCCGGTCAGGGGAAGAACGCTGGCGAGACTTCAGAGGAACAGGGCGGCTCTCACGGTGGACACCTCCTGTCTGTAGGTGAAACAAACCGAGCAGAGCCCAGGTTTCTTTTAAGCTGCAAATGGTACAATGTTGAAGATCAAAACAGTTCTAAGAAGAGTCCATTTTAAGAACTATTCACAGTTCACCCAGGCTTCTCCGAGGTGTCCTCACTGCGAAGTGCGTGACATCCCCTGCCAGCCTCCCCCTTGCCATGATGCTTCCATGTAGACTGTGTGCGTGTTGCTTGTCAAAATTACACTGACATACGTCCTCGTTGGCATTGCTTGCTAGGGATGTGGGTTCCGGCTGTTCCCATGAGATGAGCTATGCATTTTACGTCGCCATGCCTTGTTTCTAAGGTTTAACCTAAAACCAACAAGGATGCCAATGGGAAATGCCTTTGATTGTTTTGGTTTTTAAAAAAAGGCAGTATGGGCACCTCTCTAATGAACTATAAATAAGAAGCTTAAGCTTAGGCTGAAGGGCGTATACTATGTCTTTGATGTCTCTCAAAGATTTTCTCATGTTGTATTCATCTGTATTTGAAAAACACATGATAGACTAGAACAGTGGTTCTCCGCCTTCCTAATGCCGCTCCTCGTGTGGTGGTGACCCCCAGCCATAACATTGTTTTCGTTGTTACTTCATCGCTGTCATTTTGCTACTGTTATGAATCGGGTGACCCCGTGAAAGGGTCGTTCAACCCCCAAAGGGGTCGCGACCCACAGGTTGAGAACCGCTGGACTACAGGGTCCTTTGAAGAGATGTCTGAAGGTACTGTACGTAGCAGGTCCTAAAAGGTGAGTTGAGGGCTGCCCTAGACAAGTGAGAATAAAGCCGCAGGTTGGTTTGGGACGTGGGGGACGGGCACATTTGGAATCCATTACTTCTGGGCCCTTTTTCTGCTTTGCTTTTTTCACTGTAAAATATTTTCATCGCCTCAATTATCCTCCTGAGTTTATGGTAAGAAAAAGAAATCAGAGACGAGCTATGCTTTTGTCAATGCTCACTGGCATATATACGTATACCCACACACACATAGATATAATTTCTTATTTTTCTTTCCATATGTACCATATATAAACTGATGTTTGTATATTTAAAGTAAATTAGATAGAAATTTGAATAGATATAGATATGTTTACTAACAGCTTTCCCAGAGAAATTCATAAGCAAGTAAGAAAAAGTGTTAAAATAATTATAAGAATACACATTAAGAACTAACTCCATAGGACCCCTGGTGGTATAGTGGCTATGTGTTAGGTTGCAATCCACATGGTTGGCAGTTCAAAACCACCAGCTGCTCTGAGGGTGAAAGAGAGGGCTTTCCGCCCCACAAACAGTCACAGTCTCAAAACCCCACAGCAGGGTCACTGTGACCTGGCATCAACTTGATGGCAATGAGTTTGGTTTGGGGGTTTGAGCACTTATTAAGGGAAGATTCTTACATGCATTATCTATTTCATTTCCCCAACAACATTGTGAGATGAATAATATCCGCATTTAGGAGTAAGAAACCTAAGCCTAAGAGAGGGTCTGAGACTGGTCCATAGCCCTGTGGTTACAGTTTTTCCCTCGCATGCGGATTCCCGAGCCCACGTTCTTAGCGACTTCTCTGCTGATTCATGGACAACATTTACTTTTTTTTTCTTCCAGCCTGGGACGTCTTGAGATGCCAAGCACTGATTTTACAGTGTCCTGGAATTGGGAATGCCCGCGGCACATGGAGCGCAGTCATGCGTTCGGCTGCTTTTCCCTCTGGTTTTTGTTAATTGTAGACAATTGCACAGCAATGTAGCTGGACCATAAACTGCCACGGAGAAGAGTGAAATTAGAGTAATACTGGCGGCTTCTTCTAAAACAGCAAAAGAATAACTTGGGGGAATACATTGTGGTTACTATGGGATACAGGATGAAATTATAAATTATTATGGCATGTGGTAGAGAACAGTAAAAATTTAAGTTTTAGAAGGAAGAAAAAACCAAAAAGACAGTAAATTTCTCCTTCACCCCTCCCCACTCATCAGCCTGCCAACATATAGGTCATGGAAGCAGACAGGCAATGGGAATGTGCATGCTCACTGCCAGGTTGCCCTTTGCCGGGGCCTCCACGTCGGCTGTAGCCATCAGTTTTGATCAATGGCCCTTGCTGGTTGAAACTCGGCTTCTCCTTCTGCACTCTCAGATAGCATCCTCTTCTCCCCACTACTCTATCCCAGGGCCAAATGACGAGCTTGGTGTCCTGCCAGCCTCCCTGCCCCTGCTGCTTCTGCACCAGGGCCTCACTGTTCACACACACTGAGCCCTTACCACCCTCACCACACTTTGAATGGACAGACCACAGACACCCTGTGCTTTTCTTCAGGACTCCCTTCCACGACATCTTTTCTTCTTCTTCATCACTTGCTCACATCGAAGACAACCAGCATCTAGGATACGCTGGCCTTTCCACCCTTCTGATGGCTCAGCTTCCCAACCTCATCAGTTCCAGACGTCATTTCTTTTGCAGGGGGTCCGCTCTCACTCTCACTACTATCAAGTCAATTCCGACTCAGGGCGACCCTATCGGGCAGAACCGAGCCGTCCCCAGGGGTGTGTGAGACTGTCCCTTTTAGAGGAGCGGACAGCCCCAAATGTCTCCCAGTTTCCCCGGAGGGTTCCTTCCTCATAATGTAGCACACAGAACTAGCACCCTGCTCTTTCATCGAAGACCTGCTTCCTTAGCCTCACTGTGCTACACACCTCTGTAGTGTCTCCAAATGGTATTTTGACATTGGGGGTAGCCCTCTTGAATTTTTGCTGTATGTTTTTTTATTTTATGTAAAACCCAGGATTGATAAACCTACAGAGACAGAAAATAGAATAAAGGTTTCTGGGGTATGGGGGTGGGGGGGGAGGTTACGAGTAAAGGGGAGAGGATATGAAGTTCAAGAATAAAGAGAATGTTTTGAAACCGATTGTGAAAGGAATTGTACAATATTGATTGATCTGATTGAACTGTGGAGTGATATGATATCTGTATTACCTTCCAATAAAAAGATTTTTGGGGGGAAAAAGAAAGGAAGCAGAGAAGGAAAATAAACAAAAAAACACTCTTCTTAGCTGGCATATCGTAATCATTCACATAACCATTTATGTCACTAGCTATTTATGTCTTTTCTCAACCCAGGCCTGAAGGGAGAATTTTTTTTAATAGTCATTTTATTGGGGCTCATACAACTCTTATCACAATCCACACATACATCAATTGTGTGAAGCACTTATACATTCGTTGCCCTCATCATTCTCAAAACTCTCGCTTTCCACTTCCACTTGGGCTCCTGGAATCAGCTCCTCATTCCCCCCCCACCCCGCCCCCGCTAACCCATCCCTCATGGACCCTTGATAATTTATAAATTATTATTTGATCGTATCTTATACTACCCAGCATCTCCCTTCACTCACTTTTCTGTTGCCCATCCCCCAGGGAGAAGGTTATATGTAGATCCTTGTAATTGGTTCCCCCTTTCTACCCCACCTTCCCTCTTCCCTCCTAGTATCACCACTCTCACCACTGGTCCTGAGGGGTTCATCTGTCCTGGATTCCGTTTCTAGTTTCCATCTGCACCGCTGTGCATCCTCTGGTCTAACCACGTTTGCAAGGTAGAATTGGGATCATGATAGTCGCAGAGGAGGGTCGGTGAGGAAGTTTTTAACAACTAGAGGAAGGTTGTGAGTTTCATCAATGCTACAATGCCCCCTGAGTGACTCATCTCCTCCCTACTACCCTTCTGCAAGGGATGTACAGTTGTCTACAGATGGGCATTGGGTCCCCATCGTGCACTCCCCTCATTCACGATAATATGATCCCCACCCCTGCCCCCCTGCCCCTTTGGTGGTCCCCTTGACCCTTCTTGATCACTTGTCTGTATGGTGCACTTGCACTGATGGCCTCTAGGGGAGCTAAAGCACCTTTTCACCGGCCCTCAATCCCACCACAAGCCAAATAATCAAATGAAGAGTTTAAGAAAATCTCCCTTCGTGATCACACATGCTGGGAGAATTTTCTTAAACTCTTCATTTGATTATTTGGCTTGTGGTGGGATTGAGGGCCGGTGAAAAGGTGCTTTAGCTCCCCTAGAGGCCATCAGTGCAGGTGCACCATACAGACAAATGATAAGGCCTGCTTGCTCCCCAAACATTCCCAGCAGCCTCCCACCCCCTAGGTTTTACACGCCTGCCTTGCTGGCATTCTTACCTCTGCCCTGTCTAGTGACTGAAGTTCTTTTCATTGTCGAAGGACTAACCCAAATCCCACATCTCCCAATAAGCTTCCTCGGTTGCACTTAATCTCTGAAAGGGAATATGACATTGTTAAGAGCACTGTCTTTAATGTTAACTTACCAGAGTTCAAACCCCAGGTCTTCCAGTAATTCATCATGTGACATTGGGGAAGTTATTTAATCTCTGAGAGTCTCAGTTTTCTCATTTGTAAAATGAGACTAGTAGTTATATCTTCTAAATGATAGGATTGTTTAGAGAATCATGAGTTAATACCTATAAAGTACTTTAAAGTAATCCAGTCACATAGTAAGGTGTCAAAAAAAGAGTATTTTTAGCATCACCACTTCCAAGCCCTATTATAGTTTACGATAGAATAATAAGTAATAAAGAACTGTGTTGTTGGGTGTCCTGCTGTGTAGAAAACTCCAAATCCATCTTCATATAGTCAATTTGACTCATAACAACCCTATAGTGTAGAGGAGACCTGCCCCTGTGGGTCTCAGA